ACACCCCCCGGCCCCCCCGCCCCGGCCCCGCGTCGTGCCTCGGTTTCCCCACCTGCCAGATGGGGGGGATGTCGCTGACCTCCCGCGTGATGCATCTTGAGCCGATCTTCCTGGGAAGAGCTGGAGTGACCCCAAGGCCGGGGACCCCGCATCAGCCGGGGCCACTTGCCCTGCACACCCCCAAGCCCCCCCCCGGCCTGTATGTAGCACCCACCTGGGCACTGGACTGGTTCGGATTTGGGGCCGTTTCTCATTCTTTGGAGTTGTTTTTGGTTGTTTTGTTTTTTGGGTTGTTTTTTTTTTCTTTCTTCCTGGTTGGTTGTTTCTGATCTGAAATAAAACTGGGATTTCTGAAGCGCTCTGGGCTGCTGGTGCTCCTGGTAATGTGGGGGGCACACGGGGGGGATGTGATGGGGCAGGGTGATGGGTGCCAAGGGGGTGTAGGACCATGGGAGCACACGTGGGTCCTGCTGAGCTGCTGACAGTGTGTGGATGAGTCCTCCTGGCAACGGAGGTGGGCAATGGCCTGGGCTCTGTGGCCCCCCAACATAAACCTGGGGCTGGAGGGGACCCAGCTCATTCCCAGCAGCTCCTCCCAGTGCTGGGTGGGGTGGGTTACACTCCTGTGTACCCTACCCCAGTCTGGCTGTGGATCCTGCCATGGATCCTGCCCTTTCCCAGGGGTCGGTGCAAACACAGAGCAGTTTTATTCCCCCCTCCTCATCTCTGTGCCCCGGTATTTTATGTTGACAGCTAATGACTGTTTAGAGGCCATCTGCCTTACGGAGTGCCTCAACGGTGAGAACACGCAGCGTAAGCCCCTTCCCAAAAGCACTTTCACCTGGATTATCTGCGGGGGAGCCAGGATCCGGCCCATGGCAGAGAGGGGCATGGGGGGGCTCAGAGAGACTCCAGGGGGGTCAGATACCTGGGCCAGGCTGGGGATTCTGCCCCAGTGCTGGCAGGAAGGGGAGCATCCCTGTTACTCCTGATTTACACCATGGTGGGGTCTGGCCCAGGTGTAACCCCCCATGCTGATGAAAACAGAGCTATGCTCATGCAAACCGCGGTGGCAATCACCTCTGCGTGTGCTCAGGGGGGCCCGCGCCTGCCTAATGGATCGTCCTCCCCGAGCCCCTAAGTGATGCATTTTTAATGGCAAATAGATTAAAATAATAAATAAAAACAGGGGGTGAAGCTCTCGGTGCCATGAGCGTATCAGGGAAGGCTGTGGCACCCTACCGTGGGTGGTCTGGGGGGTTCCCCCCCGTGGGGAATGGGGCTGGAAGGGACCATTCCCGGGGTGTCAGGGCTGGGGCAACCCCAGCCTTCAGCTCCCCGGAGCCCTGTTTGACCCCCCCAGGGGGAAAACACGTTTCCTTGTGCCTGCCAGAGGTTTCCCACCCTCCAGAGGGGCCTCCCCAGCCCTGAGCGGGGGGAGACCCTGGTTTTGGGATGCCAGGAGGAATCGGCTGCATTTTATTGATTTGGGGTTTGGGTGTGTGGGTTGGCTTTTTTTTTTTTTTTTTTTTTTTTTTTTTGATCTTGTATAATTTATCAAACAAATTGAACTGAACGTCCAAATGAGAAATGAAAATGGGAAGTGCTCCACGGCAATGAAATCATTTCGGCTGCCTTGCAAATTGGGGGAAGCTCCGCACCCATAATGAAATTTCATCCATCTCCCCACAGAAAGTTTTGATTTTTTATAAACTGGCATTTCCAAAGGAAGCCACGTGGCCTCGGAGATGTGTATATATGTATATTTTTAACCAGGTCTATTATAGACACTGTGAATAAACATAAGGGGGCCTAAAAGAAAAAGAGGACAATTTAATTTGCTAGAAAATACAATAACATAAAAGAAAAATTAGATAAAAGGAATAATGTGATCCCCCAAGCTCAGCTTTTCAAAGCTGCTCAATTAATTTTGATGGGAATTGGGGGAAGGGATTTCTTCAGGCAGGTTTGGAGATGGCAGGTCCCGATTCAGGAGCAGTGGCTGCAGGAGGGCAGCACGGGGGCCCAGCTGTGTCCCCCCCACGCTGGCCTTGCGCCGCTCTGCTGCAGCCGGGGACGGCTCCTTGCGGCTGCTGTGAGACAGCAATGCTCCTCACTAATTTAATTAAATGCTCGCTAGGAAGGGGGAAAAAAAAAAATCCCAGTACGCGAGCACTGCGGTGGGATGAGAGAAGGTGCTGGGGAGGTGCGGGGCTGCCGTGGGTGAGGGGAGGTGTGAGGGAGAAGGACCCTGTGTGGGCGCTGCCGTCGGTCCGCGCTGGACAGAGGAAAACTGGCAGCAAAACCACGGAGGTTTGCAGGGCTGAGCTTGCCATAGCACTGAGAGTGTTTTGGGATAGGAAGGGAAGAAGTTGGTGGAGGTTATTTCCCCCTCTGGTGCTGTAAGCGGTGTGGGATGGTCTCAGCCTCATCCCTGTCCCTGTTCCCTCTCCCATCCTCATCCCTGTCCCATCCTCTCCATCTCCATTCCCATCCTTATTTCCAGCCCTGTCCCTGCCCTGTCCTCATCCCTGCTCCCATCTCCATCCCCATCCCCTTTCCAATCCTGTCCCCGTTCCCATTCCTACTCCCATCCCCATCCCCGTCCCCCTTCTCTCCCAGCAAGAGCTGCCAGAGGACACTGGGCAGAGCCCAGCAGGGCTGCGCCTTGGCAGGGGCCCAGGAGCTGCTCATTTCCCTAAAAGCTTCCCGATAAATTACTCCTCCTTTTGCTCTATAAAAGGCACGTTGGCTCCTGCCCTCGCTAACGGGCCGCAGCTCCTCACGGCCCACCCCGGGACGGTGCCGAGGACGCGGAGGCCCGCGGGGCCGTGCACATCCCCGGCGCATCCTTTGGAAGCCGGGTACCAGCCGCCCATCCCCTGGGCTGTGTAGGAGCCAGGGAGGAGCGGAGAGCTCTGTCCTGCTTTGGCATTTTCCTCCCCGCCGTGCAGCTCTCTGCAAACGGCCTTTTTTCCCCAGGTTAGCCCACACCAGCTGCGTCCTGTCCCTGGCAGTGATACATGCCATCATTACATCTCCTGACACCACGCTATAAAATACACCCCCATAAAAGCCCGTAATTTACAGGCTCCTACAAGTACCTGGGAGTTACACGGCTCCATGAATACACAACACCCTGCGAGCGATGCGATGCTCAGCCTCAATAGCCGGAGATCACGCAAGCTTTTGAAGGAAAACCCAGTTTCAATTAAACCCCCTCGCCAGCCCCTCTCAGCCTCTCCCGGCCAGGCTGGCGCTTGGCAGGGAACGCTCCCGTTCTCGGCTTTCAGGCTTTATCGGGAGTTTCTGCGTCACGAGCAGCTCGTCTCTTTGGGGGCGAGGAAGAGCGCAGAGGGGCTGGGGCTGTGTTTGTGTTTTACACTGTAATTTTCATTTACAGTTCAGTTTTGCAGCTCGCCCAGGGAGCTGCCTGGTGCTCCAGCCTGCTTGGCCAGAGATGTGTTTCTCTACCAAAACTAAGCTGGATCTGGGGAGCAGTTTCGGAGCCGTGAAGCTTGTGAGCGTTGGGTAAAGCAACACCTCCGGGACCAGCTGCTGTCCCAGGGATGCTCCAAAACACTCCGGGACTGGAGCACATGGAGCAGGGAGGGGACCCTGGGGGTGCTGAAAGCACATCTCCAAACACGGGTGAGGAACTGCAAAGTCTGTTGAGCGCTGATCGTGAAACAGCCGGCACACGCCGTCCTCCAAACATCCGCGGGAGAGATGGAAGCGGTGGCTCTTGGATTTGCCTCTGGCGGTGGTGGCCGTGGCCTCGTTAGGAGGGTGCCTGCGCGGTGGCCTGGCTGCCGCTGCCACTCAAGACTCACAGTAAAGCAGTTTGTTGCCCTTTGAAGTCAGCAGACTCGCGGGGGCGATGGGCTGAGCTCCCCCCCAGCAGCCCCCAGCTCCCCAGGGCTCTCCCCCAGCGCCGGGGATGCACATCAAAGCAGGTTGGAGAGAGCAGCCAAAGCTGCTCCTGTGCTGGCTGGGAGCAGAGCCTGGCAGCTCACACCCCCACGCCAGAGCATCCTACAGCCCTTTTGGGGTTCCCCCCCCCATTTGGCCTCAGGCAGCTGTGCAACCTCTGCACTCAGTGCAAGCGTCCCCTTCCGCCAGGGGACTCTGATTTACCCCCAAATAGGTGCCACGTGGGTGCTCGTAAAGGGAGCTGAGGGTGGGACACGGGGCTGATGCCGTATCCTCTGAGCCCAAGCCCCCGGGCTCCCCCTTCACAGACCAGCCAGCACACGGCTTGGCATAGCAACCACAGTCACACCGGAGGAATAGAAACACCCTTTTAGTCTGGTTTAAACCTCACCCAGCCTCTGACTGAAGGTGATTTCCCCGCTGCAGCAGGGCTCCCGCAGCTCCGCACCCAGCCACGCTGTGGCCGCATCCAGCCCCTGCTCCAGGATGAGTCCCAGGATGGGCCGTGCTGGGGCTGGTGGCTCCCAATGAGCACCTGCCTGCACACCCCAAGGCGGGAGCTCTGCCCTGCCCCAGCATGATCCAGGCGAGATTTGGCCAAAGGCAGCTGGCTCCTGCCTGCGCTCTTCACGAATCTGGACCCACCGCCTCCCTGCGTGGCCAAACCTAGAATGCGCTGGCAGCGGGCGCAGCCATCCTGGACAGACCCGCTCTGCTGGGGGGTGGTTCTGGCAGGGATCCCCCACACGCTCGGCTGCTCTGCCCTGATGCCGAGAGCACCCACCCGCCTTCCAGAGAAAGCCAAGCCAAGGGCCTTGTCCATCCCTCGCGCTCCTGGTGAGGAGGGATGACTCTGTAACAATGCTCACCGCAGCAGCTGTGCAGCTGGGCTTAGCTGTACCAAAGCTGCGCCCTAAAAGCACCCCGACATTCTTCCCCAGGGCACTCTTCCAGAGCAGCAGAGAGGAGCTGAGGCAGGCTGGCCCCCGCGGCCCCTGTGCCTGGCCCTTGGCTCTCAACACAGCCGACATGGGGGTCACGGAGTCGCTCCTCGCCCCTTCCCAGCACCAGGCCCCAGCACACGGGCCTGGCCAGGCAGATCCCAGAGCAGGGAGTGACCCACGGAGGGATCTGCCCCGCAGGCACTCACTGCTTGTTTAGTTTCCTGGACAAGGAAAAACCTTGGGATATTTTTTTCTCTTTGCCTCTCACCTTCAGCCTCATAGGAGCAGGAACAGAGGGCTTACGGGAGCAACTCAAGCTCATTAGGAGCTCCGGTGCCTGGACCAAAGCAGTTTTACACACTGAATTTAACAGAAGCAAACATAAGTCATAAACACTGGAGGAAATAATAAACACCAATTTTAAAAGCCTGGCTACAGTCTTCCTCCCCGGCCTGGATAAGCGTGGAGCTGGGCCGAGAGCGGGCAGCACAGGGCAGTGCAGGGTGCGGCCCAGGCAGCAGCGGTGCGGGGGGCCTGATCCCGCCCTGGGAAAGGGGGGGCTGGCCCCTCCGGACACAGCAGACAGCCCCTGCGTGGGGCCAGAGCTCTGCCGAGCACAGATCCTCACTCCCGTGGCGGGGAGACAACCCACAGGAGGCTGCCAGGTAGGAAATAACACCACACACGCAGGCTGCAAGAGTGGGGAGGCTTTTATTGATGGGAAGTGTGAATAAATAATTCTGTCCCTTTCCTAGAGCAGGCGAGGGAGAAATCCATCTCCAGCACAACCTCTGTGAGGGTCCCTGTGCCTCAGCCCCACTGCAGGTTGGGGGGGACGGGCCACCCTCCAGGTGGGGGGGCCTGCAGGGACGGGGGCAGATCCTGCGCTGGCGGCCAGCCCGGCGGGTACTGGAAAAGTGCTGGTTTCTCGGGCAGAGCACTGGGGAGACGGAAGGGGCAGAGGTGAGACGGGGCTGTCTCAGCCTGACAGCAAGGCCCTGCTTAGGGGCTGAGCTTCCCTCTGACCCCCCACTAGCCCCCAAAAGAGAAGGGTCCAGCAGAGGAGGGGTTTGGTTATCAACAATCAGCTATATTCACACACCCCCCCCCAGCCCCAATCCAACAGCAGAACTGCTGTGTAACCCCCTGTCCCATTCCATCTTGCTAACGTAGTGCACGCCCATGAAAAATAAGGGGGGAGCAATAAGGGAAGGGGGTACAGGCACAGCCCCCCAACAGCCCCAGGCACAGCAGCTGGCAGGAGAGGCCTCGCACTGGGAGCACGGCTGGCCCCGTCCCTTCCCACCCCCAGCTGCTCGCAACTCTTCACACAGCTGAGTTTTGAGAAGAACAAACAAAATTAGCAGATGTTTCTTTCCAAGCAGCCTGAATCCCAAGCCAGCTGTGCACTTCCCCAAGGACAAGGACCCATCGGAAATGGAGAAACTGCCAAAACGATGGTGTGTTTTCACAGAAGCACCCTTCAGCAGAGGGAACAGGCTTCCTCCTCCAACTCACGGCCTGGGAAACACTTTGTCTCTCTCCCTCAAGTTTCCTAGTTGAGGCCACTGCAAACAACACACCTGACTAAGGAAGTGCAAAAGAAAGAAGCATCAATCCCTTGTCTCCAGCTGAAGAAAGTGTCTGGCCATGGCAGGCTTAAATTCATGGGAAATGTACCTCTTCCATTAATTCCTGAGTGCAGGAAACTCATTTGTTCTTTAGCACAAGCCTTGACAGCAATCTTCCAGCTTCTCGGGCGTGTACCTCTGACCCTGATGAATCTTTTTAATTGTTATGCCAGAAGAAATCTAATCAAACTCCTTTACATAATGCTCCAGGGAAGCAGCACCCTCCTCTCCCTGCAGGGCCGATGATGTGGCCAAAAGCCAGCTGCAGAAGTTGAGTGCAGTGTTGTCTAGGCAGCTAACACAGAGCAAAGTCATTTGCTCTGATGCATATCCGCTTGATGGGGATTCTTCAGAGCCGAGGATGAGACAAGACTGTTAGGCCACACACCGAGCCCCTCTCGGGTAGGAATATTTTTGTTACAGCCAGGCCCTGTCACTCAGACAGGCAGAGGAGCCCCCGCAGCAGCGGTGGGGTGGGGCGGGGAGCAGGACAAGGCATGCTGCAAGGTGGAACAGCACAGCTATCAACTAATGAGCTGTTCTGTGAACAGCAGAACGAATCAATAGGGAGGATGCTGTCTGGGTACTCAATTCCCTGGGGTCTCATAAGATGCAAGTGCTATCAAAGGTTTACCTGCAGCTGGAGCATTCCAAATGGCTGTCCCATGTGGCTTCTCCAGTGTCTAGCAAGGGTCAAGAATATTTCCTTTCCGAAGGCATTAATGGGATCCCCCTCCTCTACTCACTTCCACATTCACAAAACCTGTAGGATCTGGGTATCTTTGAGGCCTCAGCCCCCATTCTGATGGGAATCAGGACGTGGGCTCCAGAGCAGTGATGGCAGCAGCACACGCTCACGTGCACTGACATGCTCTGTCTCCTTTGGAAATCAGGTTAAAAATCGATCACACCCTGGCAGAGCTCCACCGCTAAGAGAACTACACAAACTCCATTCAACTCCACCCCAGCTCTCCAGAAAGCAACGGCATGGCATGACTATGAAAATACACATCAAGCAGAGGCTTCCAAATGAAGATAGTCTCCTTGAGCCCAGCCAGGCTGGGAGAGCAGTTGCACAAACGATGGGTGGGAGGTAGTGTGGCAACTCTCCATCCACAGGGCTAATGTAGGTGACAGTCAGAAATGCTGCTTTAAGAAGGTGCTACCCTTCAGCAAGGCAGTACCTGGCCACATGGCCACTTTGAGTCCAGTGCAGCATTTTCTTTTCACTGTGGTGTGCTTGGAGATGCACAAGGCAGTAGCTCCACCTGTGACTGCCTGCTGGGTATCTTGCTAGAAAGCCCCTGACAAGTTTGAGACAGAATCCCAGCCTCGCTCGCTGGCTGAGGCTTAGCACAGCAACAGCAACACTGGGAGATCATGCTTCCAAGACCTCTTCCATCCCAGCTTGAATCCTTCCTACTCAGTGCTGCCAGAGAAGACAGAGGTGTAGCTGGGTCTCTAGCATCTCCTTTTGGAGGTGTCTGGCCTCGAGAGAACTTTCTCTACTGTTTTGTGCACACTAATGGTCTTTGCTGACATTACCAGCCAGGCAAGGCAGCCCGTGGGCAGGTTATCATTCAAAACCACAAATTCCCCAAAGCACCATTAGACCCTGCCAGAGATTCTGCCACACTTCAGGGACCTCGAGGACTGCAGGAGAGGAAGCTCCTTGTCCTTAAAAGCATTTTCAGGAGGAACACAGAGTCCCCAGGCACCAGGAGCACAGGGACCTGCCTAAAACAGGCCCTCTTCCCTGGCACTGCAAAACAACTCTGGCAGACAGTGCAAAACACACAGTTGCTCCAATGGGCCTGAGAGCACAAGGGGAGAAGAGAAATGATAGGGGCAGGCATCAACAAGGCCAGGTAGAGGGGAGAGGCTTTGAATAGCTGGGATTTAGTTCCTGTAATAGATGGTTTCTGAGCCTGCAGGGACAGAAAGGCTGGGCAGAAAGCAACAACCCTAGAAATCTCAGGTCTTGTGCATCTTTGGAGGCAGCAGGGACCAGGTAGTTTTGAAGGTCTGGAAATTCCTCTGGGTGTAGCACTGGCCATCTTCTGTGAGAGACAATCTACCCCAAGATCAAGGGAGTCATGGGCAGGACAAGCAAAATGGGGCAAGTGAAGTGTAAGGGGGGTAGGAAGTTTAGGGCTGTCAGTGAGCACAGCTAAGGGCAGCCAAGCTGATGGATGGAGCGAATAGAAAAGCAACAAGCCCAGACAAGCACCAGAAGGAAGATCCTGCCCAGACCAAACACAGAGAGGACAGGAGCAAATAGAAAAAGAACAAAAGAGATTTGGCACCTTCCCAAATGTCATCCAATTAAGCCTGCGGCACAGTCAGGTGAGCAAGGAAACAGCAGGCACCGGCAGGCGCCCGAATCCGAATGAATGCCGCGAGGAGGAGCTAATTCCACCCTCTCACTGGCAGGGACCAGCAGAGACGTGCAGACAGGGCAGGCAGCGGATGGGGAAGCTGTCAAAAAGATGAGACCAGGCTCCTGCCACTGAACCCCGGGCATTAATAACTCAGCACCATGGTGGCACTGTCCTTCCAGGCACGTCTGTGCGGGCTGAGAGAACAGGAGCACCCCTCTGCTTGCCTTCCCCAGGGCAGCAGCCATGGGCAGCGAGGCCTGGCTCGTCCCTGGGGCACACGGGGAGACATGTGCACAACCCTCTGATGTGGGCACGCAAGGCTGGATCTATACATGTGTCTGTAGCGTGTGCCAAGAGCAGGCAAACAGTGCTGTCAGGCAGAGTGCAGAATGACAGCTTGGGAGGTGCCATCGAGCTGGGACCTCTGATCACCTGCACCTTCTCCTATCCCACTCACACCTCTCATCCTTGTGGGCTCCCTGCTCTGCGTTGTGGGGGCCAGAAGCAGCAGCCAGCCCTGACGCGGATGCTCCCCGGCCACCAGTACCTGTTACTCTGAGCCGCACTCAGTCTCTTTGCTCTCTTCTCCAGCCAGTCCTCAATAGTGCCAGGCGGGACATCTGCTCCCTCCTGCCGCAGCTCCTTCGATCTCTGCTCCCCTGGTTGAGAGAGAGAAGGCTATCAGACGATCGTGCTGCAGTCCTTTCACTCCATTAAACCCGCTGCTCGTTACCCTGCATAGTTTCTTATGGTGGAGAGTTTGCAGTTTGCCTGTGGCAGCCCCTCCTCCTCCACTGTCCACCTGCCATCTGATGTGTGGCCTCCTCAGTGGTGACAGCTCCAGCCAGACAGAGCCGGGAACACGAACTAAGCCAGTGAGCACAGCGGCAGTTCAGGCACTTGACTGAGGGGAGTCTGACATCTCCCCCCGGGGTAGATCGTCCTCATCCTCGCCTGAATCCGCCTCTGCTGGCCCTGAGCCATTTCCAAAGACATGTCCCTCCAACTGGCAGGAGGGACTTTGCCACCCCTGCCCAGTTAGGTGGGAGTGACAGGGACGTCTGTCCGGATCGATGCAGACTTGGCAGGCCGCGAGAGTCTGAGAGGTTCAGAGTGCGCGTACAATCAGGAGAGGGGATTTCAGAGATGCTGTCAGGTCTGCTTAAGGCGCGTGCTGCGTGATGTATCCCCAGCCCCTGCAGAGACAGGGTGGGAGGCTGTCACCCAGCCCTGCGCAGCCCAGGTGCAAAATCAGAGCAGACCACAGCGGAGGGAGGGGAACAAGCTCCTGCGTTTCCTCATGCAAGTTAGGAACAGGCAAGGCAGCACCAGTAGGAAACCTCTGCTGTCTACCAAGAGACAGGGCAGCCTGAGGTCCTTTCAACCTCTCCATCACCCTGGGGGGTTGTGTGGGGCAGATGCCCACAGGCACCCCATCCTGCAGCACTGTTCTCCCTAGGCAGAAGAGCACAGAGCCTGTGGGGCAGCCAAGCACTCACCAGTCCCTCCCACTGGGCAGGAATCTGCAGCTGCCCAGTTAGTAGAGCTCCCTGGTCCCCCCTTAGCAGCAGTGACAAAGCAAGATGGGATACTAGCAGAGCACAGGGTCTAGCACGAGTCCTTGACACGAATGACAGAGTCACACTCCTCACAGCACGTCAGGCATAGCGGGCTGAGGAGATGCTCAGAGCTATTAGATCTCCAGCCTAGTGGAAAGTTCCCACCTAACAGAAAATGGAATGTGATACTCTGAAAAACAAACACTGATATTAATAAAAAGGAAGCTGAGGCCACCATGTGTCATTCCCCTTTGCCCCACTCATCAAACCCTCTGGGGACAAGCACTCTGGGGGGACCCTGATCCCATCTAGAGATCAACCACAGCAGCCACCTGCAGCCGTGCCCGCCAGGAGCCTGCTCCACACCCACCCACCATATGTCACATGTTTAAGGAAAATATTATACGTTCCCAGACAGGGTGTGAAATTAATATTGCCTGGGCAGAGTGAAGGATCACTTCATCCTAGTGGTAGCAACCAATTATTCATCTGCCTGTTGAATATTAATAAGGATGGCAGAAATGTGCTACACAATGAGCAGCCGGAGATGGATAATTTGTCATCCAGCCTTTTCATCTGCTGTTGCTGGGAGGGGTGACAATGTACTCACTGCCACCACAAAGACAGCCTGCTGTGGTCCTGATGTCGAGGTGCTGCTCTGCAACCTGGCCATAAGGATATGGTTGGAGACAGGGCTGTTCAAGTCTCCCACAGTCGTTCCCAAGGTGCACAGCTACTTGGGGTCAACCAAACAGCCTGGCCAGGTGAGGGCACCTGGGAGGCAAGAAGCTCGGTCTGGTGAGCTGTGCGCTGCTCAGACTCAGGATATGTGAATTCAGCTTCCAGGTAAGATTTCCCTTGCAGCCTTGACCACAGCCACCTTAATTCCCTTTGTTCCAGGTTTCTGCCTTGGCACATGCCACCTCATCAAGGGGACAAGTGGTGGTTATGAGAGGCTTCGATGAGGAAGGGAAAAAAATCAGAGAGACTTCTCCCACCTTTACCTACCACCAAGATTTTCCTTTTCATCCCACTCCAAGCCCCAACACAGAACAGACAAAAACTGCCAAAGCCTCTCTCTTTAGAGCAGGAAGCCCCAAGCCCACTGCCCTTAAGTGCCACACCAGGAACTCATGCAGCCACAACTCCCTGTCTTGCCCAGAAAAGCTGCTGTGGAACAAATCCAGACTCACGCTGGCCTAAATGAGGCCCCAGGTGTCCAGATTAGAAAGGCATCCAGCTGGCTCCCCACTCACGCAGCTCCACGAGTTACTGCTCCAAATCACTCCAACCCTCAGGCTGAGGAATAAAGCAGCAGGTACTGGCAGCTGTCTGGCTCTGTCCACCTTGATGCATGCCCATCAAAAAGGCAGATATTTCATCTCACCTTCCTGTAAGTACACATATCCCATCCAGAGACCACCAAAACCACCATGAGATTGGAAATACCCCCTGAATATCAACAGGTATTCCAAGATGTAACTCTGAAACACAATTACCAGCCCTTACTCCTCATGCATGGTTGTGCTGCCAGACTGCAGCAGCAAGACAGGTGTGAAGGTGCTTCCCCCCGGCTTCTCACTGGGGCGTTTGCTTCAGAGTCTAATTACAGGCAATTAAAAGAGCATCTGTAGTCATGAAGTGTCTCTCTAATGATGTCAGAGTGAGAGTCCAGATTTATCTTCTCTCCCCATGCAACTTCTAGCATGAGTTTTCTTCCTGAACAAGGCACCAGCATATGCAAGATGCAACCAGCAGTACAGAGCAGGTCACCCAGCAAAAAGATTTACAGGTAATCCTTCAGCTCCCTCCCTGGGCTGGGAGATGTGGCAGCCCAAACTCCTCTAGAGCACACAAACAGCAGCAGGCTGCAGTTAGAGATGAGGCTGATGAGGCCCTGCAATATGAGCAGCTTAAGAAGTTACCACCCCGCAGCCACGAAGTGGGAGCCGACTGCGAGAGCGCTCCTTTTCCTGCTCATGGCTAAGTTAAGCTGGTTGACGACAGCCACCCCCAGCAGGGTCACGCAGATTCTTTCAATCACACGGATACATTGCAAACACTCACCCAACTGTGCCCTAGCAACTCTGGCTAGCTGGAGCTCACCAAAGAGGCTGGGTTGTGTCAATACTACCAGCAGAAGTGACGCAGATTAGTGGGGAGCCAATAACTTTAAGCAAGAAGATGGCAATTTGACAGTGACTTTTCCTGACATGACTGTACTTAAAATGACAGCCTGGAAGTGTCTCGCTGATGAATGATGCAGCAGATGCAGAAGGCTAATGCTTTGATGCGGTAACAGCTGGGAATATGCCTCCCTCCCTGCTGAAGGTGGAAACTGTTGCTTCTTGATGAGTATATTCTACAGGGTGCAGAAATGCTGAAGCTGAACTAGGACATGCTCTGAGCTGTTACAGAACAGCGAATCGTCCAGAAATCTTCCTACTTAACCCACAAGACTAACACAAACAACAGGGTGAATTCCCTGCATTAAAAAGGCCAAATGTTAAGAATAATGTAATGTTTCCTTTGGCTGTAATAAGAATGCATCATTAGCAAGGGAGCTCACTGACACAGAACTACCAACACCAAACACTTAACAGGGATCCAGGGACAGGTTCAATATTTACATGACAAAGAAAGTGCCATCACAGTTTAGCAGTGTTAAAAAAAGTCAGAAAAGGCTTTGCTTTAGTTTAGGATGCAAACACACCCCTTAACACGGGTCATGCCACTGCACTACAGGATTTCTTTGCACCTTTTCCTGAAGCATCTGCCCCTGGACAAGGGGAGACATGGGTTCAAGGCAGTCTGGCAGCTCCTCTGCTTCTACACCCATGCACCAGAGCTGAGGAACGCAGAGTTAAACAGCACTGTGGACTCACCAAGAGACCATCCACTTTTACCCCACCAGAGGCAGAGCGTGGTCATCTCCAGCATGGTCACACAAGGCTCTACACAAGATGGTGAGAGGGCTCTGGAGCTTCCAGCCTCCCAGCTCATCTCAAATCCTCGACCACCCCAGGCCGCAAGCCTGCCAAAATCTCCCCGATGCTGTGGGTTGAGACGTGAAATCTCTGAGGACACTGACAATCCAGTGCAGAGCAGCCTGATCCCGACCACTGCTCTAACTGGCTCCGTATCATCTCAGTGGCCAAGGCCTGTGATGCCCCACAACATAGAAACACCAGGACTAGGTGCTAACGCCCACTGGGACATCACTGACAGAGGTGGCTGATGGAGGTGCTACAAGGGTCACGTCTCCTGTCCGACTAATGCAACCTGCGGTTCAACCTACCATCACACCAGCTTGTCTTAAACTCTGCCCTAAACCTCACCATCTGAAACACTGGTGCCTCAGTAGCCTAAGGAGGGGTGAAATGTCCCCCTGACACACCGAACAGCAGCTTGGCTTTTGCAGTTGGTCCTTCCATACAGCCTACCATGTTACAAGCTGTACATTTCCTCCACCAAGTCCTGCTACTCCATTCCCTCCATCAAAACCCTCCAAGCTCTCAGTGGCCTCAACTGATCAGATTTAGGGGTCTGTCTGTGTGATGCTCAGCCTGCTCACTTGGTTCACATAGGATTTCTGTGGAGCGGCACCACGAGAGAGTTGAGCAGGATTTAACTCTACAACCAGGCATTCATATTATAGCAGCACAGTCAAGGATGAGGCACCCTGCCGTCCCCTGGCCATTGCTTCTTTAAGTCTAATTGTTTAATTAAATGTTTGACTTGGTAATACAAATGCAAGGTTTCCAAGTAATCTCGCAGGAATCAGCTCTCTCACTAGCCAATTCTCCACTTACACCTGACCCATTTGACAGAAGTCAATATCCAATAACAAGTGTAATTGGCAAAGAAACCTGCCCAAGCACAGAGGAGCTTGCCAGCCTTCCCTGCAGCTCTGCTCTGCTCCAAGGAGCTTTCACTTCCCCTGCAATAAACAGCCTTCACTGACTGGAAACGCTACAGGTTCCTGCAAATACGCTGGCATCCTGTGCCACCTCTCGGGAGCCCAGTACTTCAGCCCCGCAGCAGAGAAGGGTCAGGGGGAGGTTCTGGGCTAGTGGCAGGGAAGAGGAGTGTGACTGCCAGCCCAGCACTGCTGCTCCGAGAAGGGCTGGCTGGAGTGCTCCATCTCCCACGCAGCCCGACGAGATGGGTTTTATTGACTGCCAGAGTTGTTCAGCGATTGATTCAGAGTCGCCTTGGGGACTCACAGACTGACTCAGCAACGGTGAGGACTGGAATAGCTCTGTAGTGCCTGCCTTCCTCCTGCTCCCCCAGGTTCACCAGAGCCCTGCTTCCCCAAATCTGATCCCTCAGAAGGTCAGGAGAGTCTCCTCCCCACATACACCCCAAATCTCTTATATATGCACACTTCCAACACTTAAACCTGTTTTTGCCAGACTATTGGCAAAACAACAGTTGGCTTCAGCTAGCAGTGTGGGCACAAGATCTGCTCAGAAATTGGGCTGCATTAGGAAGAGCACTGCCAGCAGGTCGAAGAAGCGACCCTTCCTCTCTGCTCCATGCTGGTGAGGCCATGCCTGGGTGCTGTGTCCAGTGCTGGGCTCCCCAGTACCACAGACAGCAACATACTGGAGAGAGACAGCAAAAGCAAGAGACAATGGGCACAAACCAAAATACAGGAATTTCCATTTAAATATTTTTTAAAATACATTTTTACTGCAAATGTGGTCAAACACTGGAACAGGTTGCCCACAGAGGTTGATTCCAGCCTTGGAGATATTCAAAACACAACTGCACATGGTCCTGAGCAGCCTGCTCTAGTCTACCCTGCTTTCAGCAAGGCAGGGCTGGGACTAGACAGTCTCCAGTGGAGACCTCAACCATTCCATAAATTCTCACCAACACCTCACTCACGTTTTCTCTAACAACCAAAGTAATGAATCTCATGGAGAAAACAGAGCTGCTACCCCTTTTAGGGCAAGAAGGTGGTAATCCCAGAATGAAAAAGTTCGAAAGTGCTCTTGAAGGCTCACAGCAGGGGAGCAGCCGCCATTTATCCTCTGCCCAAACTTCAGTTCCACCCAAAGCCATGTGAGCAGAGGCCATTTCTGTATCCAAGAACCCACGTCCTCTCCTCAGGACAACACAACTGACAGCAGGGTAGCTCTTCCCAAGAGTGGAAGAAGCAGCAGCTCCCTGGTAACAGTAGAAAGCTGGGGGGGTATCAAATCCATAAATTTAAGGGGAAGTGATGTACCAGTGCCCTCTGCTGCTGACAGTTTTTATTCCCTGACTGAACAGAACCCCGAGGGCTCAGAAAGCCCACTCCCTGCTTCAGATGCTTGCTGCTAAGTAGTAACAGCATTGCTCAACTCTAGGTTTGTGTCTGTGCCAGCAGATCAAGAGCAGAAAGCATATGAAAAACGGCAGCACTTAAAGCCACACTACAGGCTCACACTGCACTGAGAGGCAAGCGGGAGAGATCCACGCTCGGCTCGCTGTGTACAGGCAGCACAGGACCACAGGCTCTCACTGCACAACCCCTCACACACCCCTCTGCAGCCCCACACTCCCTGCAGCATCTCCCCCTCCTCAGAGAGCCTGAGCCATTTTCTTGTTTGAGGACTCACCTTGAACTTGGGCACTCAGCTTCTCCAGGTCCTGCTCTGTCATGTGGGAAAATCGGCAGTTGGACCCAAAATCACACTGTCCTGGAACAAAAGCCACAGAGCTCCATGACAGCCACACACACAAGGTCTTCCCTTATGAATGTGCATGCAAACCCAAGGTCCATTACACCCGCATGCTGGACACACGCTCAAGACCTTCACTCCCTCCAAGACAAACACACATACCCGGGCTCTCCAGACCAGCCTTGGGTCAGCTCATGAAGGCACTGCTGGAGCTCAGGCAGCTGTTTCTACCTCAGAAGAACTCACCTGTTTGCAGAAACTTCCGACATGGTTTCTTGGTTTGCTCCTCTTGCAGGACAGCAGCAGCATCTGAGGAAGACAAAGGGCAAACCAGGGTGAAGATCTCTCACACAGCAATATCCCATCCTATGGTGGTCCCAAACGGGTCAGTTGTCTAGTGGGAAGCCATTTTACATGACAACCAGGAGCTTAAGCCACAGAAAAATTGACAGTTAACAGTCCCTGTTTGCACTCCTGGCCTCAGTTTTTCACTGGCTTGCAAATATCACCTTCTTTGCTTTCTGCTTCATGTTTTCTCCCCACACCAGGATGGAAAAAGAACTGTAACACGAAAGCAATGATGCCGATGCACTTCTGTGCAGCAGAGAAAGACCAGGCAGACTCACAGAGCTCTCAGAAAAGCTCTGTGCAAGGCCTCACAGAACCCTGTGCTGAGTCTCCAGTGGACACCACTGAAATGGTCCTTCACCTCCCAGAGACATCCTGAGGAAAGTGTGTCCCAAAGATAGAGCAGCTCCCACAGACTGTGGAAGAACGTGCACTGGCTGATGCCAGGCCACAGAGTCTGGCGACAAGAGAAGACAAATCCCCTAATCAGGGATGGCATGAGGAATTTTATCAGAGGAAAATCAAGGGTTGCAGCCTGGTAAGAAGACAAGTACTAGGTGATGGGCCTCACCATCACTGACCCAGCTAGAACTGTGCTGGGCTGAGGCTGTTAGTCCTCCACACTTGGCCAGTACAGAGAACCCTTCCAGTTTCCACGTGTGGGTAAGCAGACAGCAAAGTCACCCAGAGCTCGCAAGGGTATTCCTCACCCAGCTAGACAGGAGACAAGCTCAGCCCACAACTTCTGATCCCAAGGAACCAGAAGGAAGCAGATGAACATAGAGGAAATGATTGCATGATCAGTTTAACCCAAACTAAGTCTTTGCTACTGCCAAAATACCCACTTCTGCTCACTCTCTCAGACCCTGGACACACATTCCCACCATATTCATCAGGCTGGCACTAAAGACTATGTAAAGACTAATATGTAACTGCGTGGTGAGCCAGGTCAGAGCGCTGAACTGGGTGAGAAGAGTCCTGTTAAACAGGCAAAAGACACAGGGCTTTCCTCCCAGCACATCCTGACACAGCCTCCAGCCCCAGAATTCCTCCTCTGACAAAACCTAAATGCACCTAGCCCTCCTCCTCCTCTGTTTGCCCCCTTTGCTAAGACAGGTTTGAGCATCCCAGTGCTTTGAGCTTCTCTCCCCAGCCCTTTCATGCTCCTGTGCTCTCCAGTCAAGCAGTCGGCTCCTCAGCCTCTTCCCCAGTCACCTTCAACACTGACATCTCCACCCCGTGCAGAGCACTGCTGCCAGCTTCCTGTGTCCGTTCACACCACACACATCCAGCCTGCCGTCCAGCCTGCTTTCTCCACACGCCCTTCCCTATTCCTTGCTCCTCCCATGTCAGAGATCAACTCTGGTTTGCAGAAGGCACCTAACTCACCTCCAGAAACTGTAACTGACTTTGTTCTCTCGTCTCCCATGTCAGATTTGCTCATGATGCCAAGAGAGCTTTATCTTCAACTCCTGATCTCAGAAACAACCTCCCTATCTCTTCCACCTCATTTCAAGTCCCAGCTGACACCTGCAGTTTCCCCTTCCCACATCCAGACACACGAGGATTTTGCCTTTGAGACTGCTTGACAGCAACAGTATGAAGTCCACAATTCACTGGCACAGACAATCTTAATATAAATCATCAGTGCTGATTTAGCTTATCTATCCTCCCCCCCCCCCCC